TTAACACAATTCTGTGTATTTTTTATGAATTAAATAAAATGGCCATTAGATACTCTCTACTCTCTAATGATCTGTTGAAGGTTAAACAATGATAGCAAAAGAAACGTAACTTTGAAAATTAAACAAATGTGTTGCTAGACATTTAGTTAGGTAGAGGTTAAATGATAAGCTTGGTGGTTTATTTTAATACATTTCATGTGTAATATTGTGCTTCATTATCTATAATACTCTTGCAAATAATGTGTGCAACAGTTTGTTATTTAAGTAAATGTATTTATACTAACCTGTAAGAAAACATTTACTGTATTCTATTTCATGATGATGACAAATCTTTATTGTAAGATCTGCTTAAAAATAATCAGATATGTACAGAAGATTAAACTATTTTATTTAATTTAGCTTGAGAATTTCTCTTAGCATGTGACAGTATGCATGCGTGACTGCAAACAGGAACAGCCCACACTAAGCAAGTATACAGTTTAGAATGGCCAGCTTTGCTTATTGATTTTTTGTTTTAATATATTTATTTTTGTATGCAACTAGCAAATATACCCTAATCTGTCTTCACATCAGCATCCTGAAATACTCTGCACAGCAGCATTCACACCAGGAAAGCGAGAGGGAAAGCGTAATGTTTTCATGTCTATAGGACATTTTTAAGTACATAGCTTTAATATTTGTAAGAAGGTACTGTTGGTTCTAATTTTGCAGTAGCACCTCTGTAAAAATACCAAGCTAAAGCTCAACTAGTGCCAGCATAATTTCTGCAAGATTTTTCCTAAAACAAAAGGATTCATAAAGCACTAGCCTGACCTGGTATTACAAAATGTCCCCCAGATTCTAGGTGGAAGTATAATGTTCCTTACAGAATGTAGCTGGGTTTATGTATTCATTTAGTGTGTTAGTGGAATAAGATCACGTTGCCTATCAACAATTTTACATTCAGACTACAAATGAAGAGAGTAGTTTGTATCAGGAACATATGCAGTTTGTACTGTATAACAGCAACAAGCAAAAAAGTTGCAGCTTCCAGGTTATATAAGTACAAACAATCCACAAAGCAAAAGAAAAAAAAAAAAACCAAAACATGTCAAAGTGAATATTATACCAAATAGATTCAACTTGCAACATACACTCCATATAAAGTACATCAGATGCACAATAGTACCCTAAACCTAATAAATATGTCTTGAGCTTTTTTTTCAGTTAAAAAATAAACAAATAAATGAAACAGATGAAAAACAAAAACACACACGTGCAGAACACAAACTAATAGTAACAGTAGCTAATTACTAAGTGATGCGGTCAGAGGATCAGCATGACAAACCAGAAAATAATGTAATTGTAAGGGGTCCTAAAATAGAATCTTGTGTATTTCTTACATGTCAGAATCCCTTAAATGTACAATTGACAAATATACTGAACAACAAGCAAAAAAATATTAGGTAGCGGTACCCATTTAACCACAGAGGTTTACAAAGTCCAGAGAGATGCTTTCAGACAGCCTGCACACAGCCATTGTCCATTCAGTGTATGCTTGCAGTGTTCATTATTATAATAACATTTATTACATCTGAACTAGAAAAATGATTGTTGGAATCATTGTCTGCAACACTTTAGATTTTCCTAATAATTTTAACATACTTGGTGGTCTTCTCATAAACACCCAATTCCATGAATAATGACATAACGAACATAAGCACTGTAAGGCCTCATGCTCACAGATGCTTACTAGCTCTTGTGTGCTGCCACGCAAAATCCCAAGCACATTCAGGTGCCTGGGGAGCCAAATAAGCCATGTAGAGCCATCAATACAATTGAATGGCTGCACATGGCCATGCTTGGGTAAACACCCAATAAACATGAGCCAAATAATCTTTTATAAAATGTATCAGTGTATCACAAAGAATTAAAAAAAATAAAAACAAATAATAAAAAAATAACATTTTAAAGATTACATATGTTATATTGTATGACCAGTTGATAAATGTACTATCATGCTGAGTGCAAACTCATAACAAAAAATAATGTTCTTATTGAATTCATAGCTGATATAAGCATAAAATTAACCACATGGGGTGAAAGCTCTGGCATACTCACACAGTATCCTCTACAATGCATTAAAGTGGAACTATGGGCACAACTTTTTTTTTCATTTTGGATAGTGTATGGGAGGGATATTAACTCTGTTAGTATTTTTTTTTGCATCTGTGTCCCATTGGGGAGATTTAGCTTCACTTCCTGACCCATAGCCAACACAAGCAGTGAGAGGAAATCCCTGCGAATTTGTGAAATTCCTTGGGGTCCCACAGGTCACCAAAACTAATGTCTCCATTGGGAGATTACCTCTCTATTAATGTTCTGGGGACAACCCAAAATGTGGGATTTTTTTTCCTTTCACTCTCAATGATAATGGTAAGCAGGACAAATAGAGAAGGTGAATCTCCCTAAGGGGGGCACAGACAGCAATAAAACCTGACAGGTGTTCTTATCCCTCTCCACTCTATCCAAAACTAAAAAAAAAGTTTCACCCTTTAGTTTTACTTTAAGGTGCCTCTGAATACACCACCACATTGCATTATAAGATACAATTAGGTTGTACTGCTTGTTATCCTTACTAAATAACTGTGTATGTATAGAAAGGCTGTGAGTTCTTGGTCATACTGGTTAACACTGAAGTTTGCTTTCAGTGTCTACAGGCAGAAGTTGGTGCCTTACGTCAGCCCAAGAGGATAATAACAACTTACTTTTAAGTAATAAAAAAGCATAAAACAGGTGGAAAGAGATCTCAAACTTGGCATGGATGTATCTAAGATCATCTATATCAATTTTTTACTAATTCCTGCATCAAATAAAAGTCTTAAATTTGAAGCCTGCCAAATTCCAATGACTGAAAGGTAAAGAAATGCAGATTTAAATTATAACTCACCTTGCTTGAATTATTCAGACAACTTGCATCAGATGTTCTATCACAGTCTTTAACTAGTTCCTGTAACTGTGGAAAATCCAGAGACTGTAGAAAAGCAGAATCCCTCTGTTGTGGGACTGGGGGCGCATTAGTTTGGTAACATTGTCCTTGTCCCCCTGGAGGAACCATCCTGACTTCCATGTATTTTAAAGTTCCGTCTGTGTTCAGGAAAAGAGCTGGCTGATACTGATCCATGTATGGTTTGGACTCACTAAGGAAACAGCAGCTGTTACTATAACTATAACTTTCCTTTCTCAGACATTTCACTAGTAATATAATGAAAGTCACAAGGGAAACCAAACTGATTGCCACAAGAGAAACAATTAAATATAAAGTCATATCTGATGGGGGTTTGGAGTTTGTGAGAAAATTTCCAGATGTGGGCCTCTGTACTACAACCTCATCTACTATACTGATAGTACAGTGACAGTAGTAGATAATGGGGGATCCCCATGATCACTTATAAGGATGAAAAGTTGCTGATCTGTGTTTTCTGCCTCCTGAAATCCTTGTACAGTCCTGACCTCTCCTGTATGTTTAGATACCTGTAACAGAGAAGAACTGCCAGGGTCAATGAGGTTAAAGGCCAACCAGGCATTGTGACCAGAGTCCAGATCCACTGCAGTCAGTTTTGTCACCAGATATCCAGCACTTGTAGATTTCGGGATCCTCTCTTGGACAATGAGATCCTCAGAGTGCTCCGGATACAGCAGGGTGGGGGAGTTGTCATTTGCATCCAATATGAATATAAAGACAGGGACAGTAGAAAATAACTTTGGAGAATCCAGAATCTTCTACTTTTATGGTGATTTGTAGAGTCTGAATGTGCTCATAGTCAAAAGAACGCTGAGTATATATATCACCAGTATTAGAATTGATATAAACAAAAGAGGATACAGAAGATCCATCTATCTGAGTCTCCACTATAGAGTATACCAGATCAGAGTTAACCCCCTCATCTGCATCAGTAGCAGATACTGTGCATAGGAGAGTCCCTGGGTCACTGTTCTCTTTAATGAAAGCATTATAGGTAGATTGTGTTAATGTTGGTGCATTATCATTAACATCAGAAATCTTGACAATAACAGTTGTCTTACTGGAAAGAGTTGGAGACCCTAAATCAGTAGCTATCAGCTCTATAGTATATTCTGGTATTTTTTCTCTATCCAGAATCCCATCAGTGATCAGTGAATAATGATTTTTTGTTGTTCTGATATTAAAAGGCAAATGAGGGGACATATTCAATTGTATCTCACTATTTTTCCCAGAATCCTTATCCCTCACATTAATTATTCCCACGGTTGTTCCTAGTGGTACATTTTCAGGAATTTCATTTGTCAAAGAGGTGAAAGAAATTTCTGGTGGATTATCATTGACATCTTCTATTTCCACCTGAACCAGACAATTCCCTATCAGTCTGGGTAATCCTTTATCTTCTGCTTTTATTGACAATTCATGAAAATTTAATTCTTCATAATCCAGATTTCCTTGAAGAGAGATTTCTCCACTATGCTGGTTTAAATCAAATAACTGTCTTGAGGATTCTGAAGTGTGACTATCAAAATAATACTGAATTTCTCCATTTGCCCCTTTTGCCCCCCCCTCATCCAGATCTGTTGCATTCAAAGTTAATATAACAGTATTTAAAGGGATATTCTCCTTAAGGTTGATTTTATACACTGACTGATCAAAGACTGGTGGATTGTCATTAATATCTAAGACTGTTATTGTGATATGACAGGATCCTGATCTAGCTGGTTCTCCACCATCTATAGCAGTGAGAATAAGATTGTGTTTTCTTTTCTCCTCCCTGTCTAACACCTTCTCTAGTATCAGCTGAGGGATGAGAGTGCCATCCTTACGATTCTTTACAGACAATGAGAAATAAGGATTTGTATTTAATATGTATTGACTAATGTCATTAACACCAACATCCAAATCCTTTGCTATTTCTAAGGCAAATTGAGCACCAGGATTTGTCCAGAATTCAGTAATTTCTATGACATAATTATCATACAAGAAAGTGGGAGAATTATCATTAATATCCTGAATCTCTATGTCTAGATTGAATTGCTCTAAAGGATTTTCAGCAACCACCTCTAAATGCAGCACACAGCTCACACTGGATCCACACAGCATTTCTCTATCAATCCTGTCATTAATAGTCAATCCTCCATTTTCCTTATTTACAGTAAAATATTTGTGGTATTTTTCTGATGATAAATGTAATCTGCGCTGAGAAATCTCTGCACGTTTTATGCCCAGATCCTGAGCTACATTTCCCCCCATGTCCCTGGATCAGACTCCTCCACAATAGAATAACGGAGCTGCCCAGAGACCGAGCCCCAGCTACAAAGGAGAAGGGAGAAAGCTACTTGCCATTTCCAACACAGACAGCAGTCTCTGATGTCCATATCTCAAAATAGATCCCTGATATTTGATGAAACATAGATCCAGTGTAATCCAGAATGCCTGTGGCTGGCAAATTCCTCTTATCAGAACTGAAGAAAATATCCACCCATAGAAAAACACATCCACAGCATTTTCTTCTATGTACAGCAGCTCTTCTTTGTGTGTGAGGCAAGATGGGAGGGTGAATCACTGAGCCAGGGGGAGGAGAGTGCAGAGCTAGCTTGAATGGATTTAGTATAGAAACTAAATAATCCAAGGCTGCCCTCTTCTGGTCAATAATGTAACCCTACTCTTTAATGTAATGCACAGTATACATTTTTAGAAGAAAATCCCATATTCTGTTATCACTTCTATTTATATTTTAAATACAGTAAAATGGCTTTCAGTTATCATTACTGTATATTTGAAAGTTGTCAGTAGATTTTTACTATATTTTAATATATAGTATATAATTCAGTGCAGCTGACAAAATGGTTAGGTGTCTCCAGAACTAGAAAACAGTATGCTACACTAAATGAGGTATTTCTACTCAAAGGTAATGCTTTCAGAAATTATATTACTCAAAAAATAATAAACAATGATTTATTAAGGGTAAAAGAATGCATGAAAAGAAACTAATTTAAAGGCTGAAAACGCATTGCTTGTTGATAGTGATGAAAAGATAGACATAATATTTGATGCCTTGACTTTATAACATTATTGAAATAATGATGTGTTAGTTAAGTAGCCTCTAAAATGTGCTCTAATCTGCAAAAAGGTCTTCATTATACTTCATTCTAGTTGCAGACATTATTCTAACATTTTATAATCTGCAGCCTCTTATCCCTCCAAAAGACAACCATTTCCTATAGAAACCTTCACCACTTTAACCCTTCCCTTCTCTATTCTGCTACTGATTACTTGTATGATAAAATCTCACTTCTGTCCTGCCCTGCCCTCATCCTACCTGTTCATATCTGTCCCCTTAATACTCACAGAATTAGACCCTGACCACTACAACTCTGGCCAACAGGCAACACCAGTAGTCTCAAAAGAAACAGCCATGCTCTTAATTTAGTGTAGCATAAAGCTACATCCCTACAATACTTCACCTTTTGTAAATCCACCCTCCTAAAATACAAACTATCCCTTTTATGCTGCCAGACAGACCTGTTTCATCACGCTCATTAACAACTTTCTTCCACTGTCTCCACCCACTAACTGATTTATGGCTCAGGATATAGCCAATCATTAAAAAAAACAAGTAAAAATGCAATTCACGATGAGATCCTGCTGTTCTGATATCTCCTACATTTAACATACTGGGGTTTATTGCCAAAGCTTAACTGAACAAGCTGAGGTTACAAACTGATTGGTTTCTATACAGAAGTGAGCCTGATTTTGCACTCTTCACGTTTAGTAAATAAACACCTCAGTGTATATTTCCATACTCAGTACCTTTCCCTTTTGATCCTGTTATCACAGAAGAGGTTGCTAAACTTTTCTCTTTTCTCACCTGTCCCGTTCTTTAACAACTACTCAGGTCATCCTCTAGCTCTATCTTTTCTTAACAGGTGGTGGTAATGTGCCTTTTCCTTGGTTTTCTTAGCATGGAGCTCACAGCCTGTGGTGTTGCACCTGGCCACTAGTGACCTGCCCAATGCCATGATATATATGTATATACACCCATATGTTTAATGGGCAGTCTATGTTGCTTACCTTGCTGCACATGTGTGGGTGTTTGCAAGTTGTGGCATATGGACTGGGAGGTAACATCAATCAGCTACGTATGTCATTACACAATGTTACAGCCGTGATCCATGGTGGTGCATGCATGTGGTTTTCTGGGGTGAACATCAGGTAACATGCACTACTGGATTTATGGAGTGGATGTAGAAAGTCAGATTTATTTCTGCTCCTCATTTCTATCTGGAGGGTTTGCTTATTTCTGTGATTGGTGGTCCTAACTGTTAGGTACTTTACCTCTCTCTGACAATGCACCATAAGGGTAGTACTCCTAAAGTTGGTGCTTGGTGCTGTTTTAACTGATTATTTTCTCTCTATAGCTCTTCCCAACAGGCCTGCTTCCTCTATCTTCATTTCTAGGGGTTTCTTGGTGGTCAGCACACTTCCTCACTCATATAAATCATTTTTTTTTGTGGTTGTTTGGAGGGAAGAGCCAATATATGTGTCAATATGTAAGTACTTACCATCTTCTTTGTGGAAGTTTAAGCTATGATAAACAGCATGCAAGTACAAAAAGACCATCATCTGCATAGGGTCTTACCACAAAACAAGAGCTGCCAGTTTGAATTCTATTGGCAAAAACTCTTGTTTTGCTTGTCATATATTAATGATAAGTACCATGAACCAGCATGATAACATAACATGCTTACCCCTCTCTATGCATTTCCTCAAATGACATAATCAGAAGACTTAAGCTTAGTTTGTCAAATATTTATAGTTGTAATAATTGTTTACATTATTGATTATTCTTTTAGATGGACATGGAAGATAATGCTTAACACTTCTGATGATATATATATACATATATTATATATACATTTTTTTTATTCATAGTTCTGGTGGTCTGTATGCATGGTGGCATGTGACATGGTTCTGAAGATGCAGATTCTGTGAAATGTGTATGCGTCTGTATTTATTCTTAATTTGAATTCATTAATTGTGTATTTTGTGTATATATTTGTATAGGTTACGCAACAAAAGTCCCTTGATCTTAGTTATAAAATAATGTAGGAATCTAATACAGTGCTACAGAAAAAATCACATGTATATGCTGAATTAAAAAAAAATTACAGCCCTTGTTTTAGGATAACATTTTCCTGTCTTTCTTCAATGTAATTTTAAAGTAACCAGCTATGTTAATCAATAATTTTGCATATATATGAACAAAGCATTAAATAAAATATTTTATAGCTGAACTACCATATACACCTGAATCCGTCTTGTTATTAGCCTCTTGTAAAGTATATTTCAAAGGAAAGTTCAGACTGAAAAAGGAAGGGCAGGCCTTTAAAGCAATAACTGGGTATCCCCATAATAAAATTCCCATATACGTCTAGTAACAGTACCCTGGTATTAAAATTCTGTATGTGGAAAGCAATTGTTTCTTCTGGGAACTTAATTTTAGTTGTACCCTTTGAAGTAATTGCTGAACTTTATTTTATTGAAAATAAAAATAAATCATTCTATGAGCCATAACTTAGGTTGAGGTTTAGCTTAAATGGTATGGTGCATGTACCTGTGACAAGAAAAACAAGCCCAATGTCACTGGACTATTGTGTCTTTGGTCAGGTACACTATTTTTCCCTCATAGTGATTACTGTCCTCCACCTTATTGCAGATTGCTAAATCTTTCTAACGTATCCTTATTTCACTGATGTTTATAGCACTGGAGAGTTTATTCATCATATGGTTTGGCAGAATTTCATATGGGTTCGGCAGAATTTCAAACAGGATTCCCAGGCCCTTGGCCAATTGGCAGAAATTCTCATCTCTAATAGAAAGTCAAATACAATCAAATAATAAATACATATAAATGCTTTAATTTTGTTTGAGTTTTGAGTCATATTGGCAGACTGAAGTGCAAAACAGAGAAGAAACCTTCAAAGATGTTGTGAAAGACATAGTTTGACTATACCTGTGTCACAAAAATACAATATTGCAACTGCAAGTGGTTAATGCATGTTAAAAATACTATACTGGATAAGAATTTTTAATTTGATGTCCTTCCAAAATTTACATGCCGGCTAAGTTGTTCAACAAAAATGACAGGAGTCAAAGTCGCTATCCTATAAAAGTATGCAGCTGGAAAATAGCTTCTAACTTGCATACTTTTTCTTGCTTAAGCTGGCCATACATGCATAGATTTATTTTGTTCAACCTAAAGGATGAACGTAAGAGGTTTAGTAGATTCCTCCATCCACCATCCTTCCAGCTGATTGGCTGCTGACAATATTGAACAAAGCTCTTTTGATCTTCAGATAAAAGTTTGTTGAGCTGAGGGTACTGGCAGGAGCATGCATGGATAGAATGTTTACTGAATCAACAGGAAACAAACACAATTTAATTTGTATATGGATAGCTATAGTAAATCTAGAAATATTTCAGATGGTATGCAAGACAGCCAGGGAAGTAATACAGTAAATAAGGTCTCCAAAGAACAATGGTATTTCATGTCAGCTTCCCTTTAAGATATGAATGACACGTGCACTGGACATAACAGGTTTAGCTTTGCTCATTCTATCCACAGATTTATACGAAGTTCTAGGTACACAGAACTGTATACATACAAGATCGATCACAGCCATTTGGTTAATGGACACTTGAATTGTTATTCAGTATAATGTCATTTAATACATCTTTAAAACTGAGATAGAAGAAAGATGACTGAAAGATTAGTTTTTCTTCAGTACCCTATGTTGTTGATTTATTTTGTGGTGTTGTGACAAACTCCTTAAAACTTTGAATAATCAAAGACCGAATATAAACACTGTAATAAAAATGAGCAAACCTGCCACAAGTGAAGGTGAAGTGGAATGTACTGAGGAATCTCTCAGTAGGTCTCCATATTGTTTGATGCAAAACAACAAGGGTGCTCCAGTGCTGGCCTTGCTATTTGCATGAAGCTGTTTATGAAGTATGAAGGTTCCTAGAACTTGCCAATGCATCAGTGAAACATACTGGCAGTGTATACAGGAAGTAGGTGGTAGCTGCTATCAGACAACTAAGTTAGTCTTTAATGATGTAATTCATGACACATTTGCTTTAAACAGGATTACCTTAAAAAAGGGGAAAGCATACAAACGAAATGTTAAACTATCATTCCGCTTAGACTATTTAGGCACTATTCAAGCACCCTCTGTTACTAATTCACGAATGAACAAATAGAAAATCAATTAATTATAAAGCATACCATATTCTACATAAATATTTGGAAGGCAAAGCACAGTAGACTGAGGTTTCAACTCACCTTGCTTAGCCATTTAGGTAACTTGTATCTGATGTGCTATCATTGTCTTTAACTAGTTCCCGTAACTGAGGAAAATCCAGAGACTGTAGAAAAGCAGAATCCCTCTGTTGTGGGGCTGGGGGTACATTAGTTTGGTAACATTGTCCCTGTACTCCTGGAGGAACCATTCTTACTTCCATGTATTTTAGGGTTCCATCTGTGTTCAGGAAAAGAGCCGGCTGATACTGATCCATGTATGATTTTGATTCAGATCCAGTAAGATAACAGCAGCTGCTGCTAGAACTATAACTTTCCTTCCTCAGGCATTTCACCAGTAATATAATGAATGTAACAAGGGAAACCAAACTGATAGCCACAAGAGAAACAATTAAATATAAAGTCATATCTGATGGTGGTTTGGAGTTTGTGAGAAGATCCCCAGATCTGGGTCTCTCTACTACAACATCATCTGCTATGCTAACAAGTACAGTGACAGTAGTAGACAATGGAGGGTCCCCATGATCACTTATAGAGATGACAAGTTGCTGCTCTGTATTTTCTATCTCTTGAAATCCTCGTACAGTCCTGACCTCTCCTGTATATTTAGACACTTGGAGCAGTGGAGAACTACCAGGATCAATGAGGTTAAATGCCAACCAGGCATTGTGACCAGAGTCCAGATCCACTGCAGTTAGTTTTGTCACAAGATATCCAGCACCTGTAGATTTTGGGATCCTCTCTTGGACAATGAGATCCTCAGAGTGCTCCGGATACAGCAGGGTGGGGGAGTTGTCATTTGTATCCAATATGAATATAAAGACAGGAACAATAGAAAATAACTTTGGAGATCCAAAATCCTCCACTTTTATAGTGATTTGTAGAGTCTGAATGTGCTCATAGTCAAAGGAACGCTGAGCATATATATCACCATTATTAGAATTAATATAAACAAAGGAGGATACAGAAGATCCATCAATCTGACTCTCTACTATAGAGTAAACCAGATGAGAATTAACTCCCTCATCTGTATCAAGAGCAGCTACAGTGCATAGAAGTGTCCCTGGGTCACTGTTTTCTCTAATAAAAGCATTATATGTAGATTGTGTAAATGCTGGTGCATTATCATTAACATCGGAAACGCCAAGAATAACAGTTGCCTTACTAGACAGAGCAGGAGTCCCTAAATCAGAAGCTGTGAGCTCAATAGTATATTGAGAAATATTTTCTCTATCCAGATTGCTATCAGTGACCAATGAATAACGATTTTTAATAGTTCTAATTTTAAATGGATTGGTGGGTGACAGATCCAGTTTTATCTCTCCATTTTTCCCAGAATCCTTGTCTTGTACATTAATAATTCCCACAACAGTTCCAAAAGGAGCATTTTCTGGAATCTCATTTATCACTGAAGCAAAAGAAATTTCAGGATAATTGTCATTTACATCTTCAATTTTTATATGTACCACACAGTCACCTTCTAATTTAGGGAGTCCTTTGTCTACTGCTTTGATAGACAATTCATGAGAAACAATTTCTTCATAATCCACAGATCCGTTTACATAAATTTCTCCATTTTGACTATTCAGAACAAATAGTTTCCTTGCAGATTTAGATGTGTGGCTATCAAAAGAATATTCAATTTCTGCATTTGCACCATCATCCAGATCTGTGGCATTTAATTGTAATATGACAGTATTTAAAGGGAGATTTTCCTTCAGGGTAATTCTATAAACTGATTGCTCAAACATCGGTGGATTGTCATTAATATCTAAGACTGTTATTGTGATATGACAGGATCCTGATCTAGCTGGTTCTCCACCATCAATAGCAGTGAGAATAAGATTGTGTTGTTGTTTTTCTTCCCTATCTAACACCTTCTCTAATATCAACTGAGGGATGAGAGTGCCGTCTACACGATTTTTTACAGATAATGAAAAAAATGAATCTTTACTTAATATATACTGACTTACACCATTAATACCTACATCTAAATCTTCTGCAATCTCCAAGGCAAATCTACCACCTGGACTTGCCAATAATTCTGTGATCTCTATATTATGTTCTTTAATAAAAAAATTGGGTGAATTATCATTAACATCCTGAATCTCTATGTCTAGATTGAACAGCTCTAAAGGATTTTCAGCAACCACCTCTAAATTTAGCACACAGCTTACACTGGATCCACAAAAGATTTCTCTATCAATCCTGTCCTTAACAGTCAAGCCTCCATTTTCCTTATTTACAGTAAAATATTTTTGGTATTTCTCAGATGATAAATGTAAACTGCGCTGAGAAATCTGTGCATGTTTTATGCCCAGATCCTGAGCTACATTTCCTACCCATGTCCCTGGATCAGACTCCTCTACAATAGAATAACGAAGCTGCCCAGAGACCCAGCCCCAGCTACAAAGGAGAAGGGAGAAAGCTACTTGCCATTTCCAACACAGACAGCAGTCTCTGATGTCCATATCTTAAATTAAATCCTTGGTATTCGTTGTACCATAGATCCTGTGTAATCCAAAATGCATGTAGTTTACAGATTTTGCTTTCCAGTCCTACATAATGATCTATCCATAAATAAAAAATCCATGGTATTCTCTTATGAGCATGATTTCAGCAACAGCAGCTCTTCTTTGTGTTTGAGGGAAAGGAAGGGAGGGAGAATCACTGAGCCAGGGGGAGGAGAGTGCAGAGCTAGACTTGGAAGATTCTGTGTTGCAACTGTTGTGATTAAATGGATGGCAAGCCTGCCCTCCTCTGGTCATTGCTTCTAATTTCATCCAAAGCAAGATTATCCCAGCTGAAATTATGTTTAGGATACCTAAAACACAATCTCTGTTTTTTTATTGAAATCAAACTTAGATAAATATTATATTTTTAATTAGTAGAACACAGACATTTTACTGTTACTTGAGATAAATTTAGTTTTTATTATATCTGGCGAGTCACAATTGCAATAACTCTTAAAGATTGTAGAAAACGGGAAATTTTTATAACTAACAATTCATACAATTTTATCAGATGAAGGTTAGGGGGTAAAAAGCAAAAATATCAGGGCAACACCAATATACACAGTTTCTTTTAATTTTGTTAGGATAACACCAATTTTGTTGAGTAAAAGCAATACTCTCTAAGTATTCTATACATGACAGGAGTATTTTTGAAACTCTTTTTGCAGATTCATAATTTTCTCTGTTTCTCTGTTCTAATCAGGTGTTTGTTTTACCATGTCCTTTCTCCAATCAATTTCTGAATGGCAGGATTTGTCTTCATTATAACGATCTGAGCAAATCTTGTGCTCTTATTAGGAAAATGCAGTGTTTGATTATTTAAATCCTGTGCTCTCCTAAAGGGATGCAAAGATGCCTAAAACTTGACTTGTAACCTCATGCAAACATCTGAGAAAACCAGTGAACCAATCACATGAGCACAAAATGACATTTCTGGGACCACTGTATATAGCAACAGTACTGAACACAGCTTAGTTTTCCCAAGAAATGGTGGTACTATTGACATTGGTATTGTAAAGCAAATAATACTATTGGCACAGGCATTTTAAAATAAAATGATGGGTAACAGAATCCTTAACTGGCTGATTACAAGAAAAAATTAAGGAAAAGTATACAACATTATACCAAGTGTATTGGAGCTGCTTATTTTACAGAAATCATATCTTTCTGGTGAGCGGCTTGTGTCACACAGGTAAAATATGATTAAAGCCAAAAATATTTTTATTACTTTGGACACAGTAAAGATAAAACTCCCTGTTTGGTTTTCATCCATTTGTGTCCCATTGGGAAAATTTCTTTTCACATTCTGTCCATCAGATGTAACTGGAAGGGAGTGAAAATCTTTACAAAGTGGGGGAAATGTCCTCTTAGACAATTGTCATTGGAACAAGTGTTCTCGTTGGGAGATTTTGCCTCTATTAAGGTATATAAAGATTTACAGATGGCATTTCTGGCAGTGACATATCGAAAATTATTTTAATGTGCTTTTTGGTGGACTTTACATTTATTTTTGCTTGCATCCTTCAGTGTGTCTGTTCATAATTTATGATTGGATGCACACATTTATGTGGATTTGTGTAAAGTGGATAGACAGAGATAGCATTTTGTAATTTGTACAATCTTTGTCATATTTGCTTTGTTTATACCTCAATGTCTGGGGCTAAAAGGATCCCTTCTATTTGTTTATGTTTTTATCAATATTGTGCATATAAGTAACATTTAAATGTACTGGTTTAAAACATTACACATATTTTTGGTATTGTGAGTGTACAGATCAAATCTTGAAAGAATAGTGTGGAAATTGGGATGTTATATATAGATTAACATCCCTACAAACTAAAATTATTGGGAAACACATTCACTTAATTAAACATAAAAAACATAGTATACTTCCTTTGTTAATATTAAAAAAAACATGAAACAAAAACTAAGGCATATACTACCTAGGTATGGATCAAAATTATTAAATGAACATAATCAGCATATCATAAGCCCTCTAACAAAATACAATATTGCTGAGACTATAACCAAAATATAGGAAGCCTACCATTGGTAAGTCCACACTGCTAGAGAAACATAGTAGGCAAATTAGGGGACGGGTATCCAGGCAGCATGCTGGCATTTAATGCTGGCTGCATTTACAGACTGATGCAAGCAAAGGTACACTCAGATGCCTGCTGGAAAATGTAAGCAGCAGTATGAACAGCTCCAATGCTTACCTAAAGACTTTGACTTACTAATGGAGTTAAGACTGTTCACACAATAAACTATGTGATTATTCACTTCATTTTTCCAATAATGTGCAGGTGAAATAAGTAAACAGGGATTTTAAACGTTTTCAGTAAATTAGCCTTAACCTCCATGGTGGTATTCCCGAGTGTAGCTCGGGGTAAAATTTCAGTACCACAAGCGGTATCCCCGAGCTACACTCGGGCTTACCATGCAGCGTTGCTCAGGGATTCCCTGCAGTGCTTACCTTGTCCTTCGCTCCCGCGATGTGTCCCCTGCAGCGTCCCCGGCCATCTCCTCTGGCCGATGCCATCCCTGCGAGCATTGGGCGTACGGAACGTACAGGGGTCGGAACCGGCGGCAAATTCAAAAATTTAAGAAACTGTCATTTTCTAAATAAACGAATATGACATAGTAAAACATTACTGTTTCAAAGCATTTCACATACATTTTGTCCCTACTGTTTTGTCCTGTGTCCTGCCTGCATTTTGACTGTTCTTTCTGCCTGGAAAAGTCCATGGCATCCAAAAAGCGTCGCTTAAGGTCAAAAGCGGTTTTAGACCAGCTAGAGAACAGCGATAGTAAATCAGAACCACTTGCAGAATTGAGTGATAATGATTCGTGGGGAAATTCATCATCAGACACTGAAAACAATTCTGCGACTTTGCTCAGCGATGTGCGAACTTGGCGCTATATTTCAAATTTCAGTGTTTTTGGTTTGATTATATTATTGAATTAAATGTATTATTATTATATTATTATTTTTTATGATTATTTATTAAATTATAATTTATGATTTGTGTTTCAAGTTGTATCCTACCCGGAATGTTTACTAGACTCTTGTTCGGACAGATTTCAGAGAGTTATTTCTAAAAATTACAGGCCTACAATATAAAACGCCAAATTTCCATGCAAAATAATGGTACCACTTTCAGCACCAAAAATCTGAAATAATCATACTGCCAGAGAGTTTAAAATGTCCTTTATGAACTACAAGGGGCTCTTTGATTTGTGTGAAGTGTAATGATAGGTACTGAGAGATCTTTCTTAGGAAGGTTTAAATGAGATGTTTCAGGGTAGAGAATGAGTGTACATAAACCAATGGCAACTAGTGGAAGATTGCAGGGTTGCTATCCTTCATGTTTAAATAAAACTTTGCCACAAGTAATCAATCATACACAGGCATGGTTGCTAGAATTGTATTTTTTAAGGACAGCTTCTGCTTGTTTAAAGTCTACTCCTGACAAAAAAAAACACATTCAGTACATCTTTGTAATACAGTACATATACATTTCCCCCTGTTGTATCCTTTTGGAAGGATAAACAGGTTTTTTCACTATACATGGGAAATATGTATGTATTGCAAGGATGTACTAAAAAAAATGTTTTCATTTTGCCAAGGCATAAAATTTAAGAAGTGTTATAAATTAAACTCCACTGTCTCAAAATGTTTTTTAAACACTGTAGGGCTGATTTACTAAAGGAAACAAGAAATCGTTTGATCATTAATCATTTCACTCCAATTATCTAGTTAAAAGAAAAATATAGTTTACTATTTTCATTTGCATATGATTGGAAAATTGATGTGAATATCCACACAATTTATGTACCCTTTAGTAAAGCAGTGTGTCTGAGTATGTGCATGGTGCATGAGTATATATATATATATATATATATATATATATATATATATACTGTATATATATATATATATATAATGGGTCTGAATCAATAAGCTACATTAAACATGCAACTATGAAAAAAAGAGTAAAGAATTTTACTTTCAGTATTTTTGGAAAAAGGAAAATATCTATTAATAAAAACAATGTATCTTGTTTGGACCCATCAAACAGGAGGCCTTTAAGACAATATCAGTGTCCTTAATAAATTCTGCTAACTGTTGAAAATCCTTAGAATGGATTTCAAATAAGCTTTAGGTTTAAAACAATAACTCACCTTCCTGGGATCATTCAGACAGCTTGTATCTGATGTACTATCATTGTCTTTAACTAGTTTCTGTAACTGAGGAAAATCCAGAGACTGCAGAAAAGCGGAATCCCTCTGTTGTAGGGCTGGGGGCACATTAGTTTGGAAACATTGTCCTTGTCCTCCTGGTGGAACCATCCTGACTTCCATGTATTTTAGGGTTCCGTCTGTGTTCAGGAAAAGAGACGGCTGATACTGATCCATGTATGATTTTGATTCAGATCCACTAAGATAACAGCAGCTGCTATAACCATAACTTTCCTTTCTCAGACATTTCACTAGCAATATAATGAATGTGACTAGGGACACTAAACTGATAGCCACAAGAGAAACAATTAAATATAATGTCATATCTGATGGTGGTTTGGAATTCCTGTGGAAATCTCCGGATTTGGGCTTTTCCACTACAATATCATCTGCTATCATGACAAGTACTGTGACAGTGGTAGATAATGGAGGATCCCCATGATCACTGATAGAAATAACAAGTTGTTGCTCTGTAATTTCTGACTCCTGAAATCCTCGTACAGTCCTGACCTCTCCTGTGTGTTTAGATACATGGAAGAGAGAAGTACTGCTGAGGTCATTGAGGTTAAATGCCAACCATGCATTATGACCAGAGTCCAGATCCACTGCAGTCAGTTTTGTCACCAGATATCCAGCACTTGTAGATTTTGGGATCCTCTCTCGGACAATAAGATCCTCAGAGTGTTCTGGATACAGCAGGCTGGGGGAGTTATCATTTGTATCCGATATGAATATGAAGACCGGGACAGTAGAAAATAACTTTGGAGATCCAGAATCTTCTACTTTTATAGTGATTTGTAGAGTCTGAATGCGCTCATAGTCAAAGGAACGCTGAGCATATACATCACCATTATTAGAATTGATATAAACAAAAAGAAGATACAGAGGATCCATCTATCTGGGTCTCCAGTAGAGAGTAAACCAGATCAGCATTAACCCCCTCATCTGCATCAGTAGCAGACATTGTACATAGAAGAGTCCCTGGGCTGTCGTTTTCCCGAATAAAAGCATTATATGTAGATTGTGTGAATGCTGGTGCATTATCATTAATATCAGAAACCCTGAGAATAACAGTCATCTTAGCAGATAGAGCTGGAGACCCTAAATCAGTAGCTGTCAGCTCAATAGTGTATTGGGCTATATTTTCTCTGTCCAGATTCCCATCAATGACCAGTGAATAGCGATTTTTACCTGTGCTTATCCTAAAAGGTAATTGCGGTGACATATCCAATTGTATTTCACCATTTTTTCCTGAATCCCTATCTTTTACTTTAATTATTCCCACAGTTGTTCCTAGTGGTATATTTTCTTGAATTTCATTCATCAAAGAGGAGAAGGAAATTTCTGGGGTATTATCATTGACATCTTCTATTTCTAACTGAACCAGACAATTCCCTAAGAGTCTGGGTAATCCTTTATCTTCTGCTTTAATTGACAGTTCATGAAAATTTACCTCTTCATAATCCACGTATCTTTTGGTAATGATTTCTCCACTATTCTGGTTCAAATCAAATAACTGTCTCGAGGATTCTGAAGTGTGACTGCCAAAATAATACAGAATGTCTCCATTTGCCCCTTCATCAAGATCTGTTGCATTTAGTGACCATACAACTGTATTTAAAGGGACATTTTCCTTAAGTTTGATTTTATACACTGACTGATTAAAGACTGGTGGATTGTCATTAATATCTAACACTGTTATTGTGATATGACAGGATCCTGATCTAGCTGGTTCTCCACCATCTATAGCAGTGAGAATAAGATTGTGTTCTTGCTTCTCTTCTCTATCTAACACCTTCTCTAATATCAGCTCAGGAACGAGTGTGCCATCTTTACGATTCTTTACAAACAATGAGAAATAAGGATTTGTGTTTAATATGTACTGACAAACGCCATTAACACCAACATCTAAATCTTTAGCAATTTCTAAGGCAAATTGACTGCCGGGATTGGTAAACACTTCTGTAATTTCAATAATGTGATCATTTATCAGGAATCTGGGAGAATTATCATTAATATCCTTAATATCTATATCTAGATTTAAAAGTTCTGAAGGATTTTCAGCAACCACCTCTAAATTCAGCACACAGCTCACACTGGATCCACATAGGATTTCTCTATCAATCCTGTCATTCACAATCAAGCCTCCATTTTCCTTATTTATAGTAAAATATTTTTGGTATTTGTCAGATGATAAATGTAATCTGCGCTGAGAAATCTGTGCATGTTTTATGCCCAGATCCTGAGCTACATTTCCTACCCATGTCCCTGGATCAGACTCCTCCACAATAGAATAACGAAGCTGCCCAGAGACCCAGCCCCAGCTACAAAGGAGAAGGGAGAAAGCTACTTGCCATTTGCAACACAGACAGCAGTTTGTGATGTCCATATCTTACAATGTTTCCTTGGTATTTGATGAAACATAGATCCTGTGTAATCCACAATGCTTGTAGCTGACAAAATTCCTTTTTTCTTCAACAAAAAAATAATTCATTCATAGACAAACACATCCACAGCATTCTCTTTTCTGTACAGCAGCCCTTCTTTGTGTGTGAGGCAAGATGGGAGGGTGAATCACTGAGCCAGGAGGAGGAGAGTGCGGGCTTAGCCTGAATGGATCAAGCTGTAAACAATACATGCCAAACCTGCCCTCTTCTGGCTAGTAATATGAACTTTTTTGCACACGTTTAACGTAATGAAATCCAAAAACAAAATTACAGTACATATTTTGCTTTTAAAAAGCTAATAAAAAAAACTGTATTATACTTAAGAGTTCTGTCTTAGTGACACAATTGCCAGGTGCCCCCAATCAAGATCATATTATCAGATGATGTATTATCAAATCTATATTATAATGTTTTGATGAGGATGCACTATGGATTAAAAACATAACTGTTAAGATAAGACAAAAATATATAGCTAGGCAATCATTTAATGTGGTAATTAGAAGAAGAGCTTGATAATATGTTCAAATTCTTTAAGTGTCTAATCGTATGTATCATTATATTGCATTCTTCCTGTATATATTTTTAGTGCAATAATCATTATTAGTGTGAAAAAGATCTACTTCATGATGGTTACAAATTCTCATCTAATATAATATGTAAATATAACACAATGGCACTGACATGTGACTGTAACTTCTGACAAGTGACAATGATGCCTGTCAAGTGACATTGACTGCTGACAAGTGACTGTGACTCCTGACAGGTGACGCTGGAATTGACCATTATTTTCTCAATACTTAAGTTTGAAGATAGAAATGAGAGTTTAGTACAAGGAACTAAGTTATGTCCTAAAATGAACACAGTATGCTTGAACAAAATCACATGCATATACTAGATGTATACAATTTTGGTTTAGCCTAGTTTATGCATACATACAGAAAATAATAAAGACAAGTTAAAGCTGAACTCACAAACATATTAAACACGCAATTTTATCAAGTTGTGTATTCATTTGAAATAATCTTTGAATGTATCCTTATATGAAACTATAATATATACCTTACACTATCTTGCTATCAGGCTCTTATAATCTACTACACAAGAGCCCCCAGGTTAAAGGGTAATACTCTATTGTTTCTTGTAAAATATTTAGAAATTGGATACCTCTAAACAAAATCCTAAAATATTCCCGGTAATAACATTCTGGTATTAAAATTATGCCATCACAGAGAACACATTGCCCCAGATATATTTTTTCAATGTAAGTGTAAAGTAAACCTAAATACTTCTCTCTGGTGTGAATTATCTGCAAGTTATACTCATTCTTCTTAGGGTGGATACTGTCCTCATTTTGCAGATAAAAGAGATCAACTCATTACTTGGGTTGGGCTAGTTTACACTGATCTAATGCATGTTTCCATGACAAGAAAGATCAGTGTAATCCCAGAACACCCTGCTTACTTCTCAGTGTAGATTCATGTACAGTTGTTTGTGACATACAGCACATCTATGTACTCTAGTGTACTTGCACAGTTTGTACTTATTTTTGTATACTTTACATTTGTTTTTGCTTAGTTACACTTATTTTTTTCTTGGAGGGATCACTGTCCTCTATTTTATTTCAGATTGATAACCCTCAAGTATTATCATTTCACCCGTCCTTTTTGCACTATGGACTTTATTAACCACTTGCCCTCCAGATGATTTACCCCCTTCCTGACCAGGCCATTTTTTGCGTTAAGGCACTGCGTTATTTTAACTGACAATTGCACAGTTATGCAACGATGCACCCAAATGAAATTTACATAGTTTTTTTTTTCCCACGAATAGAGCTTTCTTTTGGTGGTATTTGATCGCTTGTGCATATTTTTATTGTTTGTGCTATAAAAGTAAAGACCAACAATTTTGAGAAAAAAAACAATATTTTTTACTTTTTGCTATTAAAGATATCCAGTAGAAAAAATTTTAAATCAAATTTCATCATAAATTTAGGCCAAAATGTATTCTGCTATGTCTTTGCTAAAAAAAAATCCCAATACATGTAAATTAATTGGTTTATGTGAAAGTTATAGCATTAACAAATGGTGGTATATATACTGGACTTTTTATTTTTAACTATTAATGGCGGTGATCAGCAAATTATAGCAGTACTGTGGGACTGCAGTGGGCATTCTGACACTGGGGGGAACTGACTTCGTGTTACTGACATCCCCAGTAACACCAATACAGTGATCAGTACTAATAAAAAGCACTGACACTGTACTTATGGCACTGGGCAGGAAGGGTTTAACATCTGGGGTGATCAAAGGGTTAACTGTGTGCTGTGTGCCATTTTACATCATGTGCTGTGTTTGTGCTTCACTGTAAGCACACTGCTTTGCATGGCTGGCCTGTGCTCAATTGTTTTGTTTACTAACAGTTCTCCCTCCATCAGAGATCAGAGATCCTTGGCAAGCACTGGGCGCCGGCGAGTAATTAGTGGCCGGAATCCGGTGATTGACAGCCGTGGCCAAGAACGGTGGCGTAGGTAGGGCATGCTTCTCGTGCGTCCCCTACCCGGAAATGCAAAATCACTTATATATATACGTGATTTTGCACACCACTGCCGCCCTGTAGCAGTATTTTGGCTATGGGGCAGCACTAAAGAGGGTAATCATATGTGCAATATATACAGAGTTTTATCAGAAAAGCTCAGAAAATGTTTTGAGCATAGTAGTGAGCTCATCAATGTGGTTCTGTTGTTTCTTTGTCCAATCAGTAGTCTGGGGGAGGAGTAGTGACCATGTAAGCAGTACTGCAGCAGATGTTTTATCCAGTAATCACCTATATGATGGGAAAGTATCAGGATTAACCTGGGAGATTGTCCATGATTTACCAGTAAGATAAAGCTAGGGATAAATATGGAATCATTTAATGGAGCTTTAGCATCACAATTTTTTTTCTGAAGTTCAACTTAAAGAGACCCTGTAGTCATTAATTTAGAATATTCCATAAATATGGAATCATTTAATGGATGCTTTAGCATCACAAATTGTTTTCTGAAGTTCAACTTAAAGAGACCCTGTAGTCATTAATTTCAACAAAAATATTCCCATAAGAATATATATGCATTTAATGAATTGTATGCATGTTAATTACCTGTGAAAGCCTCCCTTGCATATACATCTGGAAGCCCCAAGACTGCTGCTAGACACCATCTTCTTGAATATGATGTCAGCAGACTTAGAGGGGTTACTAAAGTTATGAAAATTCAGAAGTGATGTAATGTATTTGTGTTGTATTTTCAGATGAAAACTGTACTGATTTAATGAAAATCATACAATCTGGTATTGTACAAGAAAAATGTTCATGCTTGTCCCTTTAAATAATTTCGGACGAAAGCTGTGTACTAATGACCAGATTATCATACGATCGCTTCTAGCGGTATTTTTTGTACGATTTTCTGATCATGTGTACTAGGCTTTAGAATAGGAAAGATCTAAGACATCTGTTATTTTTTTATATTAGAAATTAAAAGACTAGCAGACCGCCAGCCCACTCCTGTGAGGGGGGATCAGGGGGAGCTGAACTACAGAGAGGAAGGGAAAGCTGAAAAGTTTCAGCTACAACCTTTGAGGATAAATTGCTCCACAGGGGCTGCAATTACAAAGGTTAGTGAGGGCTTGCTTTAAATGGTATTTACTGAAATGAATAACCATAGCCTATTCACAATTCTTCATTAAAGATGTAAGTTATAATAGGTTTGCTTTAAATAAAAAAAAAAGTGTAAAAACATTAAAGATGCATTTTAACTTTCATATTGTCTAGAATGTTCAAGCTGTTGTTACCTAGAAGAGATCCACCTCTTATTCCACCATGAAAAAAGAAAATAATTGGAACATAAATTCTGTCATATTCCACAT